GCAAAATTTATATTTATTTCCTGATTTTTTTATGGTGGTTGCGAGATCGGTCAAACCTACCAAACCCGTACAGAGATTAATTACTAAAAATTACAGATAAAATATAGTTTTTTTTCTTAAGAAACGTTTGATACCTATCTGGACATTATAAAGATTTTGCATGTGAAATTTGAAAATATTCTGATGCACAAAAGTATTTTTAATCTTAAAATGAATATTACTTTGCATGTCGCATAGGCAACATGTGAAAAAAAAAAGGCATAAGAAAAACATTGCTTTACAAACCTTAAGACTTAATAAGAAAATTGGATATTTTGCATATGAAAGCATAGTAATGTTTACTGATAATTAAATAATATTTCCAATGAAAGTCTGCAAATGAGTAAGACAAACCATCTATTTCTAACTCAATGCTGGCTATCAGTGATATGACTTTCTAAATGCTCTTACAGAATTTCTTTAAATATAGACTAATTTCCCAACCACTAAAATGAGATTTAACTGGCCACTAATTACTGGCCATTGTCTATTTTCCCTCTATGAAATTCAGTGAGATACTGGCTAATCTTCCAGTAACTAACCACTTTTAATGGATTCATTAAAAATTAAGATTAACATCCCATAGATATATTCTTTTGTTTCCTTCTTAGGATAAATATTACCTGGTCCAGGTGCATTCTAACACCCATTCTAACCTTCTACTTCTTTTTAACATGCTTAAAAGTCTTTGTTTTTAGTGATAACATTTTATGCCAACTGTTTTCCATATCCTCTTCTCAATTTTCTAATACAGTAGAACCTTGACATTAAGGGCACTCTTCCGACCGTGTCCAAATGCTCTCTATAGCAAGGTGCCACATAAAGCAGAATTCTATATTGACCTTACTAAATTTCTGAATTTTAATGCCCTCCCCATTCTGTTTGGTGTATGCAGGACACGGGTGTTCGTGAGTTGTCAACAGGAGGTCTCAGGATTAGCTGTGCCCTTTTTTCTTTATTTTTGGTCACAAAATTTCAAAGTACTTCTCTTCAGAGTTTGAACTAAGCATTTCACATTTATTTTCTGTGTTTATTTTACTATCAATGACTGAAGTAGAAATCTGCTGAAAATAAAGCAACAAAGCATTGCTTGTGTCATTAAACTGTTTTCGTGACACTGTAATATGATACTCTGAAGAGCAACAAAGCACGCACAGAGAAATAATTTGACTAGAACCCTGCTCCAAGAACACAATGTGGAATGTATCCTACAGTGTGTACAACAAGAATTCCCCAGAGTAATAAGATTGTACTATGAATCTGTCAAAATATTTATTATGTTTTATTATATGGTTCAGAGCCAGTCCAATAAACATTGCAAGTGTTTGAATATTGGTCACCCTTCTGGGATGTTTGGAATTTAGTGTTACACTGTACAAGCATACAAAATAACTGCCAGCTTTATCGAGTGTCCATATAGAGAACGAGACTAAAGACACTGCTCTTAATCCATAATATCAAGGTGCCTGTTATTGCATGATTTATTCTGGTTACAAATAGTAGAAAAAAGATCTGCCCTTAATGGCTTGATGACTGTTAATTGATATTCAACTGTATCCTCTTTAAACCAGTTCTCTAGTACTTTTATAGGCCATTAAACCTTCTATTCTAGCAATATATTGAATATCCTAAATTTCTAATGCTTTTTCCTCACTTTGCATGATTTCTTTTCAGGGGCTTATATTTGAAATATGTCTTCCCCTCCCTCATCCTGAATATACTTACTTTGTAATAATTTATTCCTAAAACCACTTCAAACAAGCATGTTCAATCAACAACCTGCACCAATTTACCCGAGATACCTAGTTCCTTTCTAATGGCATAAGCTAGCTGTTCTTAGGTTTGAAACCAAGAAATTATTACTTTTGTGTGAAGCATTTGTGACACTTGGAGGCATTTTTCATTAATTTCAAATGCTTCAAGGAAAAATAAATAACCTTTTGTAAAATCTACATGCATACATGCAATATGGAGAAAAATTGTGCATGCATAAGAGAAGTTTTGTAATAACAAGTCACCAGAATAGAAAATGTGTATGTCAAGTAAAAATGATGCTGCATTCGAGACATTATGGAGAACCAACTGTTTATTTTATCTACAGAAACAGACACCACTGTAGCAGAGAGAAAGCTATGAGAACGTTTATACTAACTTCGTTAAAGTCAGGAAACAAATTCTATTAAATTATTTAGAAAGGAAACCAGAGACTCTTGGAAGAAATACATGCAAACAGGTGTCAATTTACAGTGTTTGTGTATAACCAATTAACAACTAGTTTTGGTTTGATAAGACAGTGAATATCAACCAATCACCTGATGGAACTACTTGCAAGACCAGTATGTAGAGCTAGTTGAATGCTCACAGAAATACTGAAAAACAAGTATAAGAAGCCTTGTTATCAGCCAAAAAGTCAGACTCCTGGCTCATATCCAAAGGCCAACAAACCTGCTGATTGCGAAGATTCCTCAGCTGCCTATCCAGCAGATTTGACTTTGATGACAGTTCAAAAGAACAAAGAAACTTCTCCCGCTTAAGCTCCATGTAAGTAATTAATGCTATCATTCTCAGTAGAACAATGTAGTTAAAAATTGGATGTAGAATTGATTAATATTGATGTTATAGGTGATAAACTATTGGTTACAGTAAAGTATTTAATGAGTAATATTGAAAGTTTAATTGAAGGTCAACTATCAGCTCAGATGGAAGAGTTTAGTAGTTTTAACAGTGAAATATTTAAAGCTACATTCAGTAATCTCGATGCAGCTGAGTATCTTAATGATTTAAATTAAAGTATTGTTTTTGACTGAATCTCAAGTCTCTGAGTCAATTCTTTAGTCTAACTGTAAACTTCCTTGAGTTAGTGACTTGTGTACTCCACTCATGACTCTATACCTGGATTTAATATAAATCTATTTGTAACTGGATTTAAAGTCGAACTCCAAATGATTAACCTATACCCATCTGTTACAGTGGTATGCAGGTATATCACACCCTTAGTTAATATATAAAATTTTTCAAAATTTCTTTACATATTGAGTATGTATTCTTTATACAGAAAGTCTGTCAAGTTCCTATTGCCCTATTACTCAAGGAACTATATCAGTCAACTAGGACGTCACATGTACGTAGGAAAGACTGCTGTAATGTCAAAACTTACTGTATATGAATTGACAGAGATCTTTTCCACTGGCAAGTCAGGTGATGCCCCAAGGGTACAAAATCCCTTGAAGTAAGAGTGACCATAAGTCACATGGGTAGCCCCTATGCTCTGAGAAAAATGGCATTGTTGTTATTTGTATATTTTCTAAGTCTAAAACAGCTTAAAATCAGCTTTTCCTAAATAGATAACCAACATACACTTCTCTCCAGTAATGATGCCACTCATTACATTTGTTATTTATCTTTGTTTTCTAGTAAACCTCCCTATATTTTGCAGTTCCTACCCAATTTACTGACAGAAAATCAGTGAGCCTAAAAACATCATCCCTTGATGTTAAAATACAATAAAAACCTCAAACCTAATAATAACACTGGGTCCCAAATGTTCCCTTATCTCAAACATCTTAATAATATCATCATAAGTGGTTAATAATAAATCCAAGATAGTTTTTATTCCTTTTTTTTCCACCAACTCTAAAAAAAAACACTATCACTAATGGTTTTTTTAAAATGAATTCTGCTATTACCACAAGTTTGTGATCCATCCTGATTCCTGGATTCCTTTTTCATCCCTACTGGTCTTAAGATTTAAATCAAAGTTTAGTTAAAACACTAGGTTTAGCTACTAAGTTAATTGAATATAAATGACTAGATAATTTCAAAACAACCTAACTTGTACACTTCTCTGTGCATTTCCACCAATATTTACCTTTGATTCATATAACACTTTTGCCTTGGTAGGGTCTGGTTCATAGCAAAGCACCTTTTCTCCTTCTGAAAATTTAAATTTCACACCACGTGTGGACACCATTGCAACTTCTCCCAGGTCTGAGTAGAAATGTTCCAGCTTGTTGAACAAGTTCCTCCACTAATAAAGTCTAAAGATAAAAATATAATATGTATCTGCAACAAAGCCAGTGATGTAAGTGAATAAAAAATGTAGCAAACTTGTCCCACTTATAAAGTAGAATAATACAATCAAGCACACTTCTGTAATAACTGTACAATATTTTAGTGAAATCAAATGATTGTGGACACAACCCTTTTTACATACAGTGCTAAAAACATGTCAGCATTAAGAAAATGATAACAATAGGTTTAATAAAGAAAAAACAATCAAAAGATATCACTTGTAACATAATATGTTTTTTACTGACACAGTTTAAAAAAAAGAAGAAACATTTCTCTTTATGTCACATTTCTGATACAAACAAATCGTGGTTCACCATATATATATAAAAATGTTCACATGTATTTCACTTAAAATTGCCACATTTTCATTTCCATAAGGTAGAGGGGAAGCTCCCTCTAAACTCAATCCTCACTCATCCTAGGTTTTATGTAAATTTGGAGGTTTTATTTCTAGATGGTAACTAGAAAAAGATGGTGTGAAAATGTTAAGTACTCTTAAAACTGTACTATTTTTAGACATGCTTAAAAAAGAAATCTTGAGAAATACATCCAGATAATATTTATAGACATATTGCACCTTTGGCACTTATATGCTCCACATCACATCAGACACCAAATAAAATCCTTCATCCCAATAAAACATTGTCAAAGAAAAACCCTTTAAATTGTGTTCCATTCTGTTATAAAAAACAGGTTCATCACTGCTTTATAAATAATCCTATTTAGTTTGTTGTTTTGTATGTTTATATTTTTAACACTTTCTCTGCTCAAAAAATTTAATCATTGTTAGCCAACACTCAGCTGCAGAAACAAACTTCCGACTCCAATGAGAATCTGATTAAAGTCATTCTTCCTTGTAAAACTTATGAAGATTTTGGGCATTATAAGTTTCAAACCTATCAAAAATATAAGCTAGAGACTAAAATAACCTAGCAACCCTATAAAACTAGGACACACAATTATCTATCAGGAACAAGTAAATCAGTCAACAAACTTCCTTATGTAACTGGTGTGGATGATAGTTCATAACATTATCTCAGATATTTTTAATTAACCCAGTTGTACAGCTAAGAATTGCTGTGTCCCTGATTTTAAAAATGCTGATTTCCAAAACAATCTTCAAAGATATTTTGAAAGAGAAAGAAAGATGGGTTAATGATGAATAATTGAAAAAGAATATTTTTCTAACAACTGTTTATGTTTTAGCAGAATACTCTTGCTAAATGTAAGATTTTCCTTCCATAAAAATGCATTTCAGATAGTAATCCACCTTTCTACTCCACCTCCCACCCTTCCTAATTACTTCTTGTGTATTAATTTAATCAAGAATGGGCCTCTGTTCAAATGCTAGTACGCAAATTATTATGTGTTGGGCTTGGAGCTTCGTTCAAGGCTCACGACAATGTACGGAGACTTTACAAAGATTTTAAAATAGGCTATATTCATCTTTTATGTTACTACTACTACTAACAACAGAACAATGCTCTGATTACTTGAGTTACTGACAAACATGCCAAGATTCTTTTCTTCAGTCATGCTACTGAGAGTATTCTCATATACAGAAATGTGTAATCAAAATTATGATATCTCTAATGCATTGCCTTGTACTTGCTATAATTAAAGATCATTTTCCAAATATATGTGCTACTTAACAATTGAGCCGAATCATTCTGTAATACCTCAACATCCTCAATACAGCTAGAAATACCCAACAGCAGACTATTAATTTACTAATTATGCCTCTATAAATACTGATAATGTAAATTAAAAAAGAAAAAGCCCAAACACTGACTGCTGAGACACACTAACTATTAAAAGGTTATAGTTTTACAGTACTGTATTAATAGGAGCTTTTAGCTTTCTTCTATTCAACCAACTTGCAATCCCATTAAATAGTCTTTCCTAGCCCATCCATCACCAATGTGGTTTTCTTATCTTTTGTGTGCTACCTTATCAAAAGCATTTTGAAAATCTATGTACACCAACTCTACCTCTTTCCACCATCAAGGAAACAAGTAATAACCTCAAGAAAAAAAAAATATTAAGTCAAGATTTCCCTTTGATGAATCTATGTTGGTTTTCTTTTATAGTATCATATTTCATTAAATGATTTTGTGAAGCTTCCTTTATCATGCTCTCTAGAATTTTTGTCACTAAAGTAAGACTAAGTGGCCATAATTTTCAGCCAATTCTTTATCACTTTATCAGTATATTATGACAGGTAACACTGCATTCATAAGTTCAATATCAAACAATGACATAGTAACTAAATAGTAAAATCACTAAATTGAATGAATGATGATTGACTGTACCATAATGTCTACAGGTTAGAATGTTTAATATATCTATTTTTATTAATCTAAATTATTATTATATTTCTATTACAGAGTTTATTTTGCATTGTTAGTACAATATGTGGATTTAAACCTAACCAAAATCTAATTTGGCCAAACCTCACGACATATTATTGAGTTTATCACTTTATCAGTTTATAGCTGAAAATATCACTAACACCAGTAGTGAGAGCACCCACTTGATTAAACTATGTATTCTAATCTTTTCAAGAACAGTATATTTAATCATTTAGTTTTAATCTTAAGTAGGAAGCTTGCTTTAACTTTAAGTTTAATCAGAAGTTAATATTACCTACCCAGTGCTTGCTGTCTATCGTCAGCGTCGACCTACCAAAATTTTGATTTTTGAATGGTTGTAGTACCAGTAGTACTCCTTCAACTCTAGTTTTACTTACCAGCAAGGGACATAATATCTACATGATTCAATTTCAGATCAATTCCAAGATTTCCAACAAAATGCTCAAGCCAAGACCAGCACCAAATATGTTACTTTGTTGCTATAGTATATGATATATCATAATCACGATATGTTACGTTCAAAAGTTCATTATCAAATTATGACAGTACAAGTAAATAGTAAAATCACTAAATTGCGTGAATGACTATGCCACAGTGTGTACAAAGTACAATAAACTGAATAAGTACTCAGTTATGTCACTTAATAACTAAATAAGTTAATTATACTATACAGTATACTGTAGTTTTATACTATCGACTTAAATTTTATCAAATTTGTCATTTTTATGACTTACAAATAGTAATACTAATACTAGTAATAGAAATAACACTATTAACTTAGTAGTAACTTTAGAAACTAATTATATTTTCAGTAATAATCGAGACTCCATACGACAAAGAGCAAATTACATTTCACAATAATTTCTTAGGTGTAACTTTGTCGTATTTGAAGTTCATTTATAATTCTATTTACTACCTATCTTATCCCCTTGTAAATAGTACTACTATATATATAGCTGTCGGTGTATTCTCGTCCTCGATGATCTTCATGGAAATATACGTTAGGGTGTTTTTTTGTTTTCGATTTATGTAATGGCCGACAATGATTAGATATTGTAAATAATGTTTGTTTGTTTTTTGAATTTCGAGCAAAGCTGCACGAGGGCTATCTGCGCTAGCCGTCCCTAATTCAGCAGTGTACGAAGGCAGCTAGTCATCACCACCCACCGCCAACTCTTGGGCTACTCCTTTACCAACGAATAGTGGGATTCACCATTACTTTATAACGCCCCCACGGCTGAAAAGGGTGTTTGTTGGGACGGGGATTTGAACCCACGACCCTTAGATTGCGAGTCGAGCGCCCTAACCACCTGATCATGCCAGGCCCATAAATAATGCATAATGGTCTATATCACAGTCCTTTTTAAGTTGTCAAGTATTTATAAAGATAAACTTAGAGTGGAAAAATATTTTATTTATTGATGTATGTATATTAATTTACTATCATATAATATGGAATTACTCCACCTGGAAACCATTCAACAAAAGGTAATTATTTACAAGTTATGTACTACGTATTATAAGTATTAGTAGTAATTAAAAAAACACCCCCACCAACAACAAAACTTTGAAAGCCAGACCTTATCAGTTAAATATCAAGACTTTCATTGAACTTAACTCCTCTAAATTTACTGCATCCACAAGTGGCGTAACTACAAAAGATGGGTCCTCCCACATATAAAGTAATTGAGCCCCATATATTTATTTCCCTTTAGTTGTAGTTATTCTGGCTGATTCGGGCCCCCTTTTGGCTCTCCCTCGCACTTGCATGGGCTGTGGGGACATACTTACGCCACTGACACCTACTACAACTGCCTCGAGCCATTTCAAAGGGCAAACATTATGTTGGTAAAACAAAACTACAAAACTGTCTTAGTTTAAAATGACCCTTAACCTGCCAAAATTTAGATTTGTGTTCCCTAGTCCTACTATTATCATCATTAAGAC